ATCGAACGTGTGTACTCCTTTCATTCGCAAAAAAAATCAGATGTACCTCGACCATGTATGCAGCTTTGTTAGAAGAGCGGACAAGCTACACGAGGCTTCTCCATAATCAGGCTGCGCATCAGAACAATTACCGCCAGGTGTTCTGCCTTCGGGCGGTCCACATACTGACCATGTTTCCTGTAATTCATATCGGGATCGAGGACACCCTTGGAGGTGCGAGGAATCATCTCGGTGGCGTATCCTGACCTCTATCTTCTTTGGAATGGATCGTTACTTTCATCATCCGTGATCGAGGCTGTGGTCGCTTGTCAGGGTATATTTCATCAGATTTTTTTGGAGCTATGGTGCTACTTCACCTCAATCTGTTCTATGAATTCAATGTCCGGAAAGGCCTCACACTTGGGCGCATTGGTCCTTTTATGGTTTAATAAACTGGAAGTTGAAGAAAATTCTAATCCTTGGAGTCGACCCTGTCTCAATGATGTCTCAATGTCCACAGGTCGGCGAGCGTTGCGCAATCATCATCTACTCTTTAATCGCTCTCGTGTAAGCAATGACCCGGGAATGACCTTCATGTCCAAGTCATAGTCAAGTATACTCGATACAGACTGGAAATCACCATCCGGTTTGTACCCTGTGTAATTGAGAACGCAGTTGTTGTACGTCATCCTTGAAACTCCAATGATCAAATGACTCATTTGTACTGTCTCCCATAGGTTTTCATGATTGGCCTTGTTCTGGGGCCTATGTCCTCTATCATGGTGTCGCATGCTTCCAAAGTAATTCTTCACTGGCTCATCACTGACAGCATTGGGAGGATTACTAGCATTGGGACGACTGGTTCTGCTGTATTTCCTTTCCTTGCTGGTTCACTCTCTTCTCGCTTCGGAATAAATCCTCTTCAACCTCTGTGGATTTTAGTCTTTTCTTCTTATCTGTTGAAGAAGTACTGATTCATTGCCACTTAGAATAATCTCGATGATCAGTAACTATGCTATTTGTCTGGATGTTAGTGCCTCAAAATGTTGGATGTGTGAATTCTGAGTCAAGCTGAAACCTACATGGATTATATACGTATGCTGGTTAGAAGTTGTAGTCTGTTTTTGCTCAATTCAAATGCTGACCATGTCTTTGACCTGATGTACATGTAACTTCAGGTATCCAGGAGGCCAGCGCGTGCAAGAAGCGGCGCACCAAGTCACCGTTCTCTTGGCACTTGTGATCAGATAAGAAAGAAGACTGATACGGCCCGTCTGATGGGGCAGTCGTACTCGAAGGTTTTTTTGTAGACCAGGAAAACTTGGAAACCTAGTGTTTACAACTCGGCTGTGTCGCTCGAGATTTGACCTTCCCAGAGGACAACAACGAACATCGAGTAGTCCAACAGTCCTTCGTTCTAGAGCGCTTCACAAGATCAACCCATCAGCATCACGTTATCACTGGCATACGCTGTTCAAACTCTAAATTGGATACACATGTTCAGATAAACGGCCTCGCTCCGTATTACACCCTGTTTTCGTGTTGACAGGAGCTACTTATTAGCGATGCTACTCTTGCAGTCTATCGTTAGGACTGATGATGCTCAACAGGCCGGAGCGTCCTCCCAGCTTGGTTGGGGCGAATTCTTTACCAAGTGGATTGGATGGCCGCTTGTACTAGACACTCGGACGAACGCAGAGGAGACAGGACCCTCTCACTATCAGATGAAAGCGATGCCAGCCGTGGGATCTGTTCAACAAGTAAGATCCAGAGGAGGTAAAGTACCTGACAACGCTCGTCTGATTTCACATTCGATGACGAATCAAAAGAAGTCCTAATTTCGACTTTGACCAACAATATCGAGCCTTACCAACAACAAAATCTGTACAGACGGTTGCCTGAAGTCGCGGCCGAGTTGCGTAGGACTAAGGAGGAGCTACACCAGGCAACGGATGCGCTTGGGAAGTTGCGGACGGAAAAGAATGAATTGGAGCGGGAAAATGACAGGTTGCACGATTCGATCAACTGGCTATTGAAACTTTCTGAGCACCCGGAGTCCATGCACCAGGAGAGTCAGACTTCCAACTTGATCGAAGATCTTCAGATGCTGGAAGTCGAGAATAGCAGTCTAAGAGTGACAAATAACGACCTCCAGTCACGGATCACTACTATTCTTGGCGAACTTCAGCGGATTAGGAGCGAAAATGAATATTCACAGGGGCATTCTAGCTTTGCTGGCGGAACAGATAATGTGTGTATCGTTTCAATCTATTATTGAGACAAGTGGCTTTATCGAGTTGGACTTTTGCTAGTTCCGTAGAGACCTCCATCAGATTCGCCGGCGCATTATTATAGAGAAGACGGCAAAAGCATTGGGGAAACGACACGATCAACCGAAAGGAAGACGCGAATCGTTTCATAATTGGTCGAAGCGCGTTCAATATCCGGGCTGGCAGCGCATGTCCGCAATTGGGACAAGGATGATAAAGCAAGGAAATAAAGTTGCTCACCAAGCGACACGGACAGAGCTGCAAGCCGCAATTATCGATATCGATTCTACCTGGGAAGGCTATTCTGAAGAAGCAGAAGTACTTCAGGAAATGTTGGATATTATAATTGACGCAGGAGAGCTTGATAAGGATGAAGACGAAGACGACGGCGATTTTTGGCCGTTGACGTGATATATGATGCAATAAAGATGAAGAATGCTTACTTACAACTTGTAGGCAATGGAGATTCTATCCATGTACTTGGTGTTGCTTGGCTGTCACCTGTACTGTAAACCTAGGTCAAACCCCGACTTCTGAACGACGATCAGGCCAAGGGCGCCATCCCTATATAAGTCTTGAACGGCCATGATAATGTCACGGCTGAAATGATGCGGAAAACAAACTGTACACTCGTAATCACTCGTTATGAAAACCTCCAAAACTGTTCCACATAAACAAAACTGTTCCACACACATAAACTTGCTGCGCGATCCCGTGACCACAGAACTTGCTTTCAACCTGTCACAATGAACAAGCTTCGCAAACCGACAAGCCCATCTGGTACCTTTGGGCGGTCGACTTCCCGTACGATGCAGCTTGCAAAAGATCTATCTATATCTCTCAAGTCTACGACATCTCGGGCAAGTGATGGCCGAGTAGATCAGCATGGTACTACTTTGCGGAGGACTGTCATATCTCATGAGATGGGTGTCACAGCTTCCCAATCAAAGGAAATACAATACTGGACTATGCGTGCGCACTCCGCAGAGACACAATTACAACTTGCGTTGTCTGCATCTCGAAGCCAAAATGCGCAGTATGTACATGTGCATGGTACTGCGTCTGACAATTCTGTAAGTTCTGCCCAGTTCAGTCTCAACTGATTTACGAGTCTCTGTGTGTGTTGAGTAGTCCATCCAAAATGTGGCTGTAAGACAGGACGGGAGGATTGCTCGACTAGAATGGCTTGTGGTATGTATCCTGCATTGATTATGTTGCATGTTGCGCAAGAAAGTCAAATTTCCGTAGATCATCCTTCTAGTTCTCATTGTCATACTAGTATTGGTGGTTGTATATCTCCATGCCTCTTATACAAGTCCTCAAACTGCACCTGCCCACTTCACTATACCTATATTGTCGCCCTTCACGTCGGTAGTAAGTATTTATGCGCATTTAACACAGTTTTACAGGCTACTGACTGACACATCAAGGTTGAGCATGAGACATCGGTCATCGGCTCCAAGACCATCGCGCTCATACTACTCATAACGGGATTGCTGTCATACCTAGCTATCCGCCTTCGTTTCTGGAGTTGACCACAAGCAAGCCGGTGAACGACATCTTGCTTTCCGTATTTCGTATCAGAGCGAACCTCGACAAACCAAATCCCAGCCACAATCATCACTTGGACATGAAACGATTCAATTTTATGTATATTCACAGGTCATACTCTCACGACGCGACATTTGTATTGGTAATACCTATGCAAAGGGAGCTGTATACCAGTCTCTGGATATCTGCAGCGGGTATGTACGCGACAAGTGGATATGTCATACACAGAATCTTGATCCTGATTGATGATTTCCAAATGCAGCAGCCATCATAACCACAACTTCGTAATCCATGCGATAAGCAACATCAAGTCCCAGTTCGATCCACAACCTCACGAGTCCACGGAAGTTGATATATGTTCATTCGTTTCGTGGTGCCAGATCCAGGATTTCCCCTGAGACCCACTGCCCAGCAATGCACAGGAACAGCGATGAAGCTAACTCGCAAGTCAGCCTCGCCAGCTCGAGGTGGTAGGAGTCGGAGGAAGGCATGTAGTTTTGGTGGGCCGGGCAGTGACATTGGCGGGGGAAACGGGGCTGGGCGACATCTCAGTCGTGAGTAGGGATAGTGGTCGGGCGTAGTAGACGACGGTGGCGAGGAGCACAACCACGCCGCCTAAAGCTTCCATGCCGGTGCTGGCGTTGTGGCGATAACGACGGAAATGGTCGCATTGTCGATAGTTGCAGTGGTCAAAGACAGGCAAGGCAGGCAGTGTTTGCCGATCGCAGTGTGTTCGTTTGTGAAATAACATTCAAGTCATTCTGGAGGCGCGTTGCAGTTGATCATAACAGTTAAGTTTACATATTGCACCCCGTCAGTAATCAGAGCTAAACAAATTGGCCCGTCGAGTAAGGTAAACGCATGGCGCACACTAAATCAAAGTACAACATTTCCGGTCTGAATGACTTTGTATCCAACTATTTCGATTCGCAGGCAGACTGCCAAGTCCTAACTCAGCTTTGTTCAGCTTCTGAATGACTTCGTTTCCAACTATTTCGGTTTGCAGGCAGACTGCCAAGTCCCAACTCAGCTTTGTTCAGCAAGAAGCACAAGCCCGCCATGAGATTCCCGCTCCTCTGAACATATATCAGCCCATGAATACTGGCGAATAGTGAATCGATAAACACATATTTTGTGATTCAACGGATTTATGCAGGACTCGAACTTGTTTGTCAAACATGTCAACGGAATCTTAACAAGTCCCTCTTAGCTCAGTGGTAGAGCGCGTCACTAGTATAAATACAACATGACGAGGTCAGTCGTTCAAGTCGGCTAGAGGGAAATACCGCGTGAATACTGAGGCCAATAAATAACTTTTTGAAAAAGTCGTCAAAGGTATCATAATTGCATCTTACCTCGTCGAACTGAAGTCCAAACAGGCCACTCTAGATAACAGATCTATATAGTCCAATGGAAAACGAGGTATTTACCAAGCAGGTCGACGGGCATCCCTCCCTACCTAGTCCGGGTATTGCCGCCATCTCTACCATCTCATGGCGTCAACACCTCTGATCACAGGATGTTTGTATTGGGCAGGGAATATGGGCACAGACTCTACGACCGACTTTTTCTTTTTCGCTCCCATTCTTCTTACTAGGTCTACTGAGGCGTATGTGGAGGTAGATATCGTAAATTATAACATTATAACACAAAGGACAGCCAGCTACTCAAGAAGAAATTCATAATATCTCGCGGCATCTCGTAGTCCACTGTAGTACTTCCATCACTACTACCCCAAGCACCCAACACGAACCAACAACTCCCTCTTAGCTCAGTGGTAGAGCGCGTCACTTGTATAAGGACGAATAACTTATACAGTAATGACGAGGTCAGTCGTTCAATCCGGCTAGTGGGAAATTGCTAATTCGCATAGATTTTTTTTTTTTGGATGTGTCGATACGGATTCTTAACATTGTATAAGTACGAAGTCAATCACCGACGATACGACCCTTCCAGAGGCCACGGGCATACCGCTCCAACCAATCAAATGTTCTGTTTCCAGACTCGTTGTATAGTACTCTTCATGCATACGTACTTTGGATCGGCATTGGAAGTGATGCCCAGTGCCCCCATCTCCATACCCGGCCATGTTGACATCCTCTCCCTACCATACCAACGTCCCTCTTAGCTCAGTGGTAGAGCGCGTCACTAGTAGATTTCGATAATCTGAAATCCATCTATGACGAGGTCAGTCGTTCAAGTCGGCTAGAGGGAATCAAATCCCAACATCCTTTTTTCCATACCCCAGCGCTCAATCTCCACCAACATCCCTAATTAAAAACCAGAAGCACACAAAATGCATAAATTACACCGAATCTATTTACACATACAAGCATCTACGAGAAACACTCAAAGGGTAACTAACCTGGTGGATGACAAATCGGCGCGTGGGGATGTCCATGAGAAGCGGCGAGAAGGAGTGGATAGGAAGGACGAATCAGTACGTGCGCGAATTAGGTATAAATAAATCATTCGTATCGTAGCCAAGCAAGGAGCAGCGAGTCCGATGATAACGATGCAGGTATCCGGTCTAATATTTCGTCTTTTTCATTTTCTTCCAAGGCACACGGCCGGCCAATCGAAACGCTCTACTTTCCCCCTGTGGTCTTGAACAACACCAGCCCGCCGAGCGCAATTGAATACCCAAACACCTGCAGGGGCGTAATCGCGCTTCCGAACAACACGACGGAGCCCGTTATGAGTAGGATGTCCTGCGGGGGGCGTGAGTCGGTCAGTCGTTCAGAGTGGAGACACGTACCTTGAAAACGCCCGCGAGGGTAAGGATGAGCCCACTGCCCACGCCGACGAGGAACACGGCAGCTACATTGAGCAGAAAGGCCACGAGGGCGTTTGAGATGAGGATAAAGGGGCCGAGGGTGGATAATGCGCGGAACGGGGCGAGGCCTGTGATGGGTGTGTCAGTGTGCCATCACCGGTGATAGGAAGGAGATTACGAACCTTCTGTGAAGGGGAGAATGCAGAGGTTGATGACAGCACAGACGGGTGCGTAGTAGTGCAGCGAGACGAGGGGGTCCATTTTCAGGTTGTGTAGTATGATCTGGATGAGGACGAGGCGGGAAGCTTCAAACTGCATGAAATGTGAGTGACGTGAGACGTGCGTGGAGAGCAGGGACGCACGACGACAGCAGCGGCCTGGACGAGGAATCCGCCGAGGTGAAAGTGGAGTTCTCCGTGGGAGGCGAGTGCGACGCCGGACGAGATCATGAGGACGATGAGGAGGAGTTTACGGTTCGGTTCCTGGATGCGTGCGGCCCATGATATGAGGAGTATGGCGACGGGCACGAAAGCCTGCACTCGAGGTCAGCTGCTGTGCGGGGCGGGGACAAGGACGCACCTTGAGCATCTGGATGTAGGACACGCTGAGGTAGAGGTAGGCGGTGTTGCTGAGGACGAGGCTTCCAGAGAAGAGCACGCCAATGGGGAGGATGCGGGTGAGGAAGAGGGCGCTGTCGAGGTGGACGTCGTTGGCGGCGTCGAGGAGGCGGGTGGTGCGCTGGAGAATGCGGGTGCCAAGGGCGGCAAAGGCGAGGTGCCATGTGACGGTGAAGACGGGGAAGCGGAAGGCGCGGGAGTTGTAGAGGTAGTTGTTGTAGATGATGACGGCGGACGAGAGCGCGATCCACACGGGGATGACGGCGGACGCGGTGAGCGCTGGCCGGGGCGCGGCGAGCGACGCGGGGCTGGGCAGGACCATGAGCTGGCGACGGCGATTCCACGCGACTGCCCAGGACCACACGACTTATACCGCCCGGCACGTGGTCTGACAGCCCGCTTGTTTGCAACCATGTCCAGTCTGCAGGGCTATGTCGACCGTACGTCTCTCTCCCTCTCCCTGCGCGCCCCTCACACCGCCCAGGCCGCGTCCTCCTCATCCTCCAAGACGGCCGCGCAATCGTAGGCACCCTCGCAGGCTACGACCAAAAGTCCAACGTCGTCCTCGCCGACTCCAAAGAGCGCGTCTACAGCACTGACCAGGGCGTCGAGGAGATCCCCCTCGGCCTCTACCTCGTCAAGGGCGACATGGTGTACGTCCCCCACCCCTCCCCCTTCCAATGCTCACCCCCATCCAGCACCCTCATCGGCGAGATCGACGACGCAATCGACTCTGCCGTCGACCTCTCCACCATCCGCGCCGAGCCCCTCCCTGCTATCCGCTACTGAGCCCGTATCCGACCCACAATTTCCCTAACGGCTTCCAAAACTATATTCCATATAACGACCCATCTCGAGCTCGATACTAGCACACCCCCAAGCCCACAGGGATCTGGTATAGTCAGGCACAATAGTACCCGTCATCAACGTTATTTCCAACACAGGAACATCACACAGACATAGAATTTGTACTGATATGAGCTAAAGAAATAAACTTGATCCCAAACCGAAAGTGCTGCCTCGGCTCGGCTTCGAGCTCGTCACACCATAATAAGCCTAATTAGGAGGTGCTCTTCAATCGACCACAAACAACCTATACATATCACTCCCTCCGGTAGATTCGAACGACCGATCTCGAGCCTCGAGGGCAACGCGCTCTACCACTAAGCTCACAGGGATCTGGGGAGTGTGTCGTCATCCATGAATGTCATACTGCATTGATGCATTCGTAGCAGTCAGGGACCACCATAACACAGTGCGAGTGGTGCATTCTCCCGGCCGGCAAACAATCAGCTGTGCCACCATGGAACAGCAGCATCTCCTATTCGGCTGCATAAAGGATCAATGAAAGCGAACAATGAAGGAGATTTTATGACAGTAGAACTGCCACCAAACTCAGTTCACTGCGTCCTTATTCGGTTGCATCGAGAATCAAGGAAGGAGATTTATGATCGTCGACATCGAATGAGCCATTAGGAAGAGCGCGCATAGACCGGAGGGAAGACCCTGATTCCGCTTTAGCAATAACTGGAACATGGAAAACACAGAGCCACCTGGTGGTCTCGATGAACATCCCTCATCAAGAGATATGCTATGCACTTCTCAGCGAACATGAACAGACAACAGAATTTTTTGGTCGTCAAAGCAAACCATCAACCAGATGTACGAAAACCATCCGTGCGGCGCCGACGTGAACCGCCACAACCCCCCCCCCCCCAAAAAAAAATGTCAAACTGAACAAAAAGATGCATGGAGAGAGGGTCACGTCTCCGAGACATTTCAGCTTCCATCATTCATCATCTGCAACGGCAAGTACCAAAAAATCCGCATACTTAAAGCCTGAGTGGTCGTTCAGGATTCCACAGCCCCCCGTATAAAGATGTTTTCCCGCACCCTCGCCACGTTTTTGTCAGTCGTACTGGCATCCACTATGCTTGTCTCTGCCAGGACTCCAGCCATACCTATAGAACAATGCCCACTCGACCAACAACGGTGTTGTACAAATCTTCCATCTGTAAGTACAGCCACGCAGACTTCTTTCACGAGCTATCATGATACTCAACATAATCAGTCCAAAATCGTGAAAACTCTTGCTGTGAGCAGTAACCAACTCATCGCACTCGCTTCCATGAACGGGATGGAGCCATCAACGTACGCTTCTACCATCCACTTCTAAACCTTCCTTGATTTCTTCCTCTTCACTAGTCGTTACTGTGTCCCACAAGGTAAAAATGGGTGCACCCCCAGATTCGAGGCTTCGTGTTGTACCTCTCAAACCAAGTTGAACAAGTTGAAGTTGCCAGTGAGTCTCCTCCCGAAACCTCCTAGTAATACCAGACAATTCTGATAATTCGAATCTAGGAGTTATCTGGTCTGGTCGATTGTGTGCCTATGGAGAACAAATAATCAACAAGGAAACAAATACTTCTCCGTCCTCCATGGCTCTGACTCAAGGTATTGCGCTCTATTACCACTGAGCTTGCCGGGAGCTGGGCTGCATTCACCGGTCATCAACATTGTTTTCCAACACATGCACAATTGATAACATCAACTTCATGAACCAGCCATGATACATCCATACTCATAGCAACCAAAAACAACATGAAAATTTGTTTTACAAGAGCTAAAGGGGTGACTTGATCCCAAAATGAAAGAGCTGCATCAGATTATGCTCTCTATAGTTGATTTGAACTACTTCTTGGACCTTGTCACCACCATAATAAGCCTGAGTAGGTGTGCTTGATCACTGACTCTCAAAGGTGCTCTGCTGAACTTTCTTCAAACAACCACAAGGGACATCATAAAACAAAGAAAACAAAAAAGAACTACATAGCACATATTCCTTTAATGTGCCTCCTGCCAATTTGAACAGCCAATGATCTTGAAGCTTGACCCAAGCACTGATAAGACCCACTTGTTGCTGAGCACTGTTAACAACATTGATGCAAAAGTAAGTTTGATGCCATCAATGTTTAGATCAACTGATCAAACTTTCTATTCACAGTAGTTTGGAGGCTTCTAGCTACACGCAAGCTCACTTAGACATAGCAATAGTATGTATAATTTTATGTGATTTATTCGCAAGTTTGAGAATGGTTTTCATATGATTGAATGGGTTCAATTAAATATTACTAAACTCTAGATCCGAAGCAACTAGAACTCCTAGGCCAAAGGCAACCACTCCCTGGGGTTGTCTGAGCCATGGTAGGTAGACTGCTTGCCCCTCCTCTCTGTAATCCCATCCCTTTTATACCCCATTGCTTGTGCATGGACCAGTGTGTTCCACATGGTATTTAGCTGCAATAATCAGTCTCTGTGTCATTTCTTCTGTGTCATTCTGTTTATCCGTAGTTTTCATAGTTTTTGACCTTTTTCTTTCCTAACTCCTTCCTTTCTTACATCCTAACTGCTTGTGAATGTTTTTTGGGACTTAATAGTGCAATGTGGAACTTTAAATAAATGTGTTGTGGCAGGTAGTTAATTGGTGGAAACATCTGGCAGTTTATTGCAGCATTTCATTGGCCTTGATGGTTGATCTTGGATTATGATCCAGGATTGCTGTCTCAGCCTAAACACTGCCACAGACTTGGCCCCTTTATCAGCATCTTGATCTCTTTTGATTGCTGCAATTCTGACATATCTGCTTTGGTCCAGTCATCTTTTTGTGTTACATGGGTGGTAGTACTTGAAAGTATGTCTTTTGTGTCTACAGTTTTTGACATTTTGGATTACAGTTTTCAGCTGTCTGGGTATACAAAAAACATTCTTTATTTCATTTTAGTACTTTTGCCAGTCCTCAGTTTTGAGGCCAGCATATCAACATCACCATGAGACTTCTGGATCACAGGCCTCATCATGTGGAATCTAGCCTTTGGATCTATGACCTTATATTCAATTTAGTGTGGGTACCAACTGCAGGTACTCTTTAGTGTGCTGTGACTTAGCAATGCTGGTGACTATGGCTAGTGATCAGTTTGCATTCATTTTCCCACTCCTACCAATTTCACTTACTCTTTCTCCCATCTTCCTCCTGTTGCTAGGCCTGTCAGGGGATGTTCCATTCCCCCTCTGTCTTGTTGATAAGACCCATTTGTCACTGAGCACTATTTTTGGCATTCCTGATTAAACAGCAGCTGATTATATTGACATGGCACAAGTCATGATATTCAGCATGTGAGGCCTAGCTCCAAGGTCTGGAACAACATAGCTTCTGCATAGGATGTTAGTGACCATGAGACTTATTGATCACAAGCCAAATCATGTGGAGTCTGGACTTTGGATCTAGAACAAGAAGGCCAAGACCTTTCTTAGCAACAGTCACTAGCAACTTTCCTGGCAACAACACTGCCTTTCCTCCAAAAATGGATATATTAACAGTCATGTAATTTCTTACTTATCATTTTTCTTGTCAAGCTGACAAACATACTTGAACAGTGTTTACACTTCAGGTATTGACATTGGACATGCTCTTTCCTTGCGATTTATTATCTTCACACACTACATCAACCTTGCTTACTTTTTACTTGGTTACCAGATTGACACCTTGTATGTATCATAATCACTTTGGCAGATGCCATCACTAGCAGCAACTGTACATAAAGACCACATACAATGAACAGAATACCATTCCTCTCTCTCTCTCTCTCTCTCTCTCTCTCTCTCTCTAAGCTTACCAGCTTAAGATTTCATTTTGCTCTTTGACTCACTATCAACAACAACTTAGCAACAGTATTGCCAACTTGACTTCAACTTTGTGTGGTGCCAATTGTGGGTGCCCTTATCATTATTTTGACTCAGCAATGCTAGCAACTATGGCTAGTGACTAGTTTGTGTTTGTCCCCTTCCAATCCCTTTATTGTCACTCCCCCTTTTGCTTTCCAATTCCCCTTTTGCCACTTAGTTTGCTCACTCTTAGCAACCCTTTTGTCTTCATTCTTCCCCTTTGTTCATCTAGTGACCCTTTGTTACTGTCTAGCAACTTAGGCTAGCAATAGTGACTCTTTCTACTTCTTGTCCACTCCACACCCATTAGCTCTTGTTTTCTGCAACAATTACTGACTCACCCTCTTTATTAACTTCCTACTGCCAGCTACCCTATCTAGTGACTAGTGTTAGGTTCTCTTTTTAGGTTTCCTGCATGGCACTAGGCAGCATAGGAGCACATCACTGTTCTCCCTCCTTATGGTTTTCTTTTATTCTCCTTTGCTTTTCCTATCTGCTGGTCACAGTTTTAGCCCTCAGGCTGCATTGGTTCTCTGTACATAATTCCAACAAGTGTTGCCCCCTCCACATGGCCTCTCACATGACCCCTGGATTGTTTCCTGCATTCCTGGCCTACCACTCATTGTAGGCCTCCCATCTTTGGACCACAGGTACTGATGACTAAGGGCTATTTTTTGGTCATATTTGCACATGGTCATGTGCTGAGAGTCCCAAGATCAAGGCCATTTACAATGGATTTCTGCTTTTTGATCAGACTCCAGATTTGGTGTTGTTGGGTGTTTTTCCAGAAGCTCTAGAGTAAATCTTCTGAACACTGGCATTGAGTATCCTTAGACTTGTTCTCTTTGGATCTCCCTCTGCCAGGTGAGTAGCTAGAACTCTAGAACTTCTTGTAGATACTGAATAAACTTTGGATCTCCCTCTGCCAGTTGTGTGATTGAGCCACAGCCTCCAGAGGTCACCCTTACAGCAGAACAAGTCTCTAGATTCAGTCTGGGAGCCCCCTTTTCAGTTACTTGAGCTTCTACTTAGTTCCTCAAAAGATCTCTCCCCCACCAGTGTCTCAGTGCCCCTGTGCTCTTCCTATGACCCAGCCAACCCCTCCAGCACCTCCTCCTGATGCTTCAAGCCCCCAGGACAATGCCTGGAATTGTTTTCTGTCCCTGGAGACATAAGTTCAACTTACTCAAGCCTCCCTTACCTCTCACACTGCTGAACTCTCTGAGCTCCATCAAACCACTAAAGCAGTGTCCCTCTCCCTCCAGGCCCTCCTAGAACATCTCCCCCTTGCTCTTACTCCTCCATCTGGACCCCCAGCAGCTGCAGCAAGGTTCTCTTCTGCACCTAGCTTGGAGGTTTTAGCACCCCACTCCAAACTTCCTTGCCCTGCACTCCCTGACATATTTGATGGGGACCATAGAGTTGGGGAACATTCCTCCAGTCTTGCATCACTTAT